ACTTATCCAACTTAAATCCGTTGCTACGAGTCCTATCCTGCTCGGATATTATAAGAACTTTATCTATATCCCCTTTATTGATTCCTTTCACCCACTTAAATACTTCTATTACATCTCCCCGCACTCTTCGTCTTTCTAGGGAATGCAAGTTTAGTTTCTTTAACCTATCTTGATATGGTAGGTTTCTAAGTCCCGGAATCATTTTCGTCATTCTTCGCTGCACCGACTCCAGTGAATTGATATTCATTCTATAATAAGGGCACCAGAACTGAACCACATAATCGAGGTGCGGCCTGACTAGCGCAAGATATAGTTGCAATAAGACCTCTGCACTCTTATAACTTACACTTCTAGATATAAAACCCAATACTATGTTTGCCTTATTTCGAACATCAACGCACTGTTTTCTAGGCCGTAGGTCCGGGCTTACAAGTACCCCTAAGTCTCTTTCACAAGTCGACTTCTCTAGGTTGATGTTGTTAAGGCTGTATACATTGGCAGTATTTGTTCTTCCAATATTAAGTACGCTGCACTTGCTGGTGTTGAATTTAATTTGCCATTTTTCTGACCACCCCTGCAGTATATTTAAATCCTCCTGTAGTGCATTTGCATCCTGCTCTGAATTAATCTGCCGCCCTATTTTGGTGTCATCTGCAAACTTTCGTATGTCACTGCTGATCCCAGTATCTATATCGTTTATGTAGATTATGAACAAGAGTGGGCCTAGTACTGACCCCTGGGGAACCCCAGTGGTTACACGGCCCCACTCAGATTCAACACCATCTACGCTGACCCTCTGCGTTCTATCGGTGAGCCATGATTTTATCCAATTTAAAACTTTCCCCTCGATACCGTGAGCCTTAACTTTTCTCAGAAGCCTCTGATGCGGTACTCTGTCAAACGCTTTGCTAATGTCTAAGTAAATAACATCGTAATTATCTACTACCTCGAAGACTTTCCTAAAAAACGTCAGCAGATTTGTTAGACAAGATTTTCCCTTTGTAAACCCATGTTGAGAGTCGTAGATTAATTTGCTTTTCTCTAAATGCGACCGGATGCTATTTGCTACAAGGGGAGGTTTGAGGCCAAGTTTGATATCTAAAAAAAAAGTAATATTACCTACAGTAATAGTACCAGTAATAACAGCAGGAGTAACAGTAGTATTAGCAGCAGTAGTAACACTAGTATTAGCAGCCGTAGGAGTAACAGTAGTATTAGCAGCAGTAGAAGTAACAGTAGTATTAGCAGCAGTAGGAGTAACAGTAGTATTAGCAGTAGGAGTAACAGTAGTATTAACAGGAGTAACAGTAGTATTAGTAGGGAGTAACAGTAGTATTAAAGTAGCAGTAACACTAGTATTAGGCAGGTATAAACAGCAGTATTAGCATATAGCAACAGTAGTATTAGCAGCAGTAGAAAGTAGCATATAAGTAGTATAAATAGCATTAGCAGTAGAGTAACAGTAGTATTAGCAGCAGTAGATAACAGTAGTATTAGCAGCAGCAGTAGTAACAGTAGTACAGTTGTAGCAGTAATTAGATTGTAGTAACAGTAAGTATAGCAGCAGTGGAGTAACAGTAGCATTAAGCAGTATAACAGTAGTATTAGCAGTAACAGTAGTACAGTTGTTGCTATAGTAACAGTAGCATTAGCAAGGGTTATAGTAACATAGTATTAAAGGTAGTAGTAACAGTAGTATTAGGCAGCAGTAACAGTAGTATTAGGCAGTAGTAGTAACAGTAGTATTAGCAGCAGTAGTAAGATAACAGTATATTAGCAGCAGTAGTAACAGTAGTATTGTTAAGTTGCAGCAACAGCAGCATTAAAGGCAGTAGTAACAGTAGCATTAGCAAGTAGCAGTAACAGCAGTGTTTAGCAGCAGTAGTAACAGTAGCATTAGCAAGGTAGTAGCAGTAACAATAGCATTAACAGCAGTAGTAACAGTAGTATTAGCTGTTAGCAGCATTAGCAGCAGTAGTAACAGTATTAGCAGCAGCAGTAAAGCAGATTGTTACAGTAGCAACAGTAGCATTGTTGTAGCAGCAGCAGCAACAGTAGCATTGTGTTGTCAGCAAATTACAGTATTAGCAGCAACAGTAGCATTGGGCACAGTATTGTGGCAAGTAGTAATTAGTAGCATACAGCGTGTAACATAGTATTGGCAGTGTGCAAATTGTTGTAACAGCTGCGTAACAGGAGAGTTATAAAGTAGTAACAGCTGTAGTACAACCAAAGTATTAGCTAAGCAGTAAACGTAGTATTAGCGCGCTGTAACAGTAGTATTCAGCAGCAGTAGTAACGTAACAGTAGCAGGTTATCAGCAGCAGTTAAGCAACAGCAGTATGTAGTTTTAGTTCAAGCAAGCAGCAGTAGTATTACAGCATTGTTGCAGTAGGAGCCAAGTAGTTAACAGCAGCGTTAGAGAAACAGGTATTAACAGCAGCAGAAGTATTATATAGAGAGCAACAGTAGTATTAAGGTTATAGTAACACTAGCATTAGCAGGAGCAATAGCATTAGCAGAAGCTAACAGCAGTATTAGCAGCAGTATAACAGTATTAGCAGGATAACAGTAGCAGCAGTAGGTAATAGCAGTAGTATACATAAGTATTATAGTAGTAGTAACAGTAGTATTAGCAGTAGAAGTATAGCATTAGTATTATAGTAACAGTAGCACAGTTGTTGCAGTAACATAGCATTGTTAGCAGCAGTAGTAACAGTAGTATTAGCAGCAGTCAGCAACAGTAGCATTGTGTAAGGCTAGTAGCAACAGTAGCATTAGCAGCAGTAGCAGTAGCAGCAAGCGTTGTATAACAGCAGCATTGCATGCAGTAGCAACAGTAGCATTAAAGTAGCAACAGTAGCATTAGCTAAGCAGTAACAGCAGTATTGTGCTACAGCAGTAACAGTAGCACGAGGTTATAGCAGTAACAATAGCATTAACAGCAGCAGTAACAGCAGCATAGTTGTTGTCAGCATTGGTAGTAACAGCAGCATTGGCAGTTGGCAGTAACAGTAGCATTGAAAGGTTACAGCAACAGCAGCATGTAGTTAAGCAGCAGCAGTAACAGTATAGTTAGCAACAGGTAGTAACAGCAGTATGTATGCAGTAGTAATTGAAAGTAGTATTGAAAGTGTTGTGTTAGTATTAGCTGCAGTAGTAAAGTAGTATTAGTTGTTGTAGTAACAGCAGTACGAAGCACAGTAGACAGTAGTATTGTTGAGCAGTAACAACAGTGTGCTGTTAGCAGCAACAGTAGTAATAGCATTGCTAAGCAACAGCAGTATTGTGTTGTTAAAATTGAGCAATCGTAGTTAAGTAGTAGTACCAGCAGCATTGTTGCCAGCAGTAGCAGCAGCAATTACAGCAGCAGTAACAGCATTAGCAGCTGTAGCACTGTTGTTAGTGCTGTTAGCAGCATCATGTTATCAAGGCTACAGCAACAGTAATAGCAGTTGTTGTAAACATTATGTGCAGCAGTAATGTAGTTATTGTTGCTGCAAGCAGCAACAGTAGCATTGTTTGCGTGTTGTAAGTGCACAGTTATTAGCAGCAGTAACAGTAGCATTAGCAGCAACAGGTAATTGTTGTTTGCAGCAGCAGTTGCTAACATATTGTGCTGCAGTAAGCAAAATTGTTGTTAACAGGTTAGTAGCGTGTTGAAGTGCCGTTGGTAACGTGCAGCGCGTAATCATAGTTGTTAGCAACAAATTTGTTAGGTATTACAGAGCAAATTAGCAGCGTTGTAGCAAGTAGTATTGTTAAAGCAACGTAGCATTACGTTAGCAGTAAACTTGTACAGCATAAACAGTAGTATTAGTAGATAGTATTAGCAGTAGTAATAGCAGCAGTAGTAACATAGTATTAAAGCAGCAGTAGCAGCAGTAGTATTAGCTGTTAGTAGTATTAGCAGTAGTAATAATAGTATATAAGCAGTAGTAGTAACAGTAGTATTAGCAGCAGTAGTAGTAATAGTAGTATTATATAATAGTAACAGTAGTATTAGCAGCAGTAGTATTAGCAGCAGTAGTAACAGTAGTATTAGCAGCAGTAGTAACAGTAGCATTAACAGCAGTAGTAACAGTAGTATTAACAGCAGTAGGAGTAGTATTGACATTATTACTTATTATACATTTCACAGGAATAACCTGCTACGTTTTACCAAAGATCATAAAACATCACAACAATAAAAAAAACTAATTTCCTAGAAGTAAACAGCGTAACACACTAGATAGTATTACAACACCACAACGCCGCGCAACCATACTGGACAGTAAACTCTTGATACACGAAACACCGCGAAGGTTGGAGGATCTTATCAGTTTTATATATATATATATATATATATATATATATATATATATATATATATTAACAGTTTTCCCGGCGACCGTTATCAAGCCCCATTAGGAAAGCGATATATGTACTGTAGGTTATTTATAGAAGTATTTCCTCACACACCTCTGTCTGACGTAATGAGTAATTGCAAAAGCTTAATACATACTCTAAGAACGAGTAATTAACATACATACATACATACATACATACATACATACATAATGGTTGCCCCTCGTGTAACGAGGATGGCCGGCCCAAGGGCCACCGAGGCGTGAATTTGTTTAAGGTGTAGAAGCTGTCGCCAACACAACAACCACACCCTAAGTTAGCGAACTGCATGACCCAGTGTCAAGGAATAGTCCGAGAAGACTGGACAACATCGATTAACATCCAGGTCCCCAATTACTGCTGGGTAGACAGAGACAAATGGCGTAAAGAAACTTGACCCATAGTTTCACCCTGACCGGGGATCGAACCCTGGTCCACTCACTTACGAGGCGAGCATGCTACATACATACATACATACATACATACAGTTCGTCCAACATACATGAACCCGTCGACATTAATAAAAATAATAAATAATCCTCTAAGTTTTGACTGTACTGATATTATAAAACTATGAAAGCTAAAGATTATAATAATGCATTAATTAAACTTACGAGAATTTGGTGTTTGATGTGTGGGACGCGGACGGAAGAGCACAGTCTAGTGTTGGTGTATAAGCGTCCCATTGGCTGCGTCACCAGTCACCTGAAACACGAAATAATTAATCAGCTATAACATTAATTACATATTACTGTCAACTTCTAATTAATCACATATTACTGTTAACATCTAATTAATTATATACTTCTATTAACATCTAATTAATCATATATGACTTAACATCTAATTAACCACATTCCTATTAACTTCTAATTAATCCCATATTACTGTTAACTTTTCAAATTATATATCACTATTGACTTCTAATCACATATCTACCTAATACATAAAAGGTCACCCATAAAAGGTCTCCCATAAAAGGTCACCCATAAAGCGTCAAGCATAAAAGGTCACCCATAAAACGTTACCCATAAAACGTCACCCATAAAACGTTACCCATAAAACGTCACCCATAAAACGTCAACCATAAAAGGTCACCCATAAAACGTTACCCATAAACGTCACCCATAAAACGTCAAGCATAAAGGTCACCCATAAAACGTTACCCATAAACGTCACCCATAAACGTCAACCATAAAAAGGGCACCCATAAAACGTCACCATAAACGTCTCCCAAACGTCACCCATAAGTCATCCCAAACGTCACCCATAAAACGTCAACCATAAAAAGTCACCCATAAAACGCCAAAACGTCACCCATAAAAGTCTCCCATAAAACGTCACCATAAAACGTCACCCATAAACGTCACCTATAAAGGCCCCATAAAAGTCAACACAGCTGACCCAGACTCACAAGCTTTAGTATAATCTGTGGTGCTGTAAAAAGGTGACGTGACTTTTATTCTACGACCTGGGGAGACCACTCAGTCATATAGTAGGGAGGTCTGGCAAACAGCAGCTCCACCCACCCTTTAGGACACCGAGAAGCTACACGTGTTGACTTTCATGCTAAGCAACTTGTTACTACTGATGATACGATTTAGTCCAGGGGTTATAGCTGAATGTCGTAAGTTCATGGCAATACTACATAGCCCAGAGGTCATAGTTATTAGTTCCCTGTTGCCATGAGAGCCAGGAGACGCATCAGTACCCGGATCCTTACTAATTGATACTTACAATTTTCTGCGTAACTTGGAGGTGTGAGGGAGCATCTAAATTGCTCACTTAAGCTAAATAAAAGAATATATATAATAGGAGTGAGACTAACGGACACAAGTACAGTACAGAATTACAAAGAAAGATACAGTAATTTACAAAAGATTTAACATATTCGTTACAGTTACATAAATAATATTTTTTCCCCACAAAGATGATCATCACTCACTTAAAATTACTAATAACAAGAATGGATATGACCCCCCCCCCCCACCCGCACTCTGTCAGTGATGAATAAAGGCATGATAGTGTTAACCTTGTCTGTCTGTATGTCTTGAGGTACGCCCTGGGGGAAATGAGATGAGAAATTTCTTATCACTAATTCGTTGAGACACACGTGTTATCTTTCTCGTTCGAGGAGGTGGTGGTGGTGGTGGTGGTGGTAGTGGTGGTGGTGGTGGTGGTGGGTGCCACTCTCAGCTGTGCCAAAGTTGTTTACTGTTGGTTATACACAGTGCCGGTCGCCTGCCTCAACTCTCACACACAAAACACCATAACGGGGTGATATAATACTGCACACTCAGACACAATGCAGGGGAAGAACCTCTGTGTGTGTGTGTGTGTGTGTGTGTGTGTGTGTGTGTGTGTGTGTGTGTGTGGTGTGTGTGTGGTGTGTGTGTGTGTGGTGTGTGTGTGTGTGTGTGTGTACAATAATCCAGTTTAAGGAAATATAATTATATGTCTTAAAGTTTAAACTAATACAAATATTACAGAGTGCTGGGAAAACACCTCAACATCTCCCCCCAACACACACACATAGTAACGAGGTAACTGAACTCTCCTGATATAACCCCTTGAGTGTGTGTGTGTGTGTGTGTGTGTGTACATGTCTCTCAAGGTTTATTTTTCCTGTGCTTATCATTATCAGTAATTAACACCTTCTTATCAGATGACACTCCAAACTACTGCACAATGTTGTTCTTATGTCACATTACGTCATAATCCTACTGTTAACATGTAAGTGTTAAATACTGATAACGATACATATTAAGGAAAGTGTAAGTAAAAATAATTACAACTAATAAGTCAAATTAAATTATTAATACTTATCAAGAAAAATAAAATTAATAAATCAAAAATATAATTTCAGTTAAGAATTAAAAATTAAACAGTGACGAGAGAGTTATTAGTAAGATGACAAGAGCCTTCCTCAGTGACGGACTCCTCAATATCATTACTCACTTCCCAGCCTGAGTTAACGCCCTCACCGTCACCACAGGAAGTCGTGCCAGCAACAATACTGCTGCCGGAGCCTGCTGTATGCACCTAACACGTTAACAGTGTGTCATCAGACGAAAATTTAATGGTGTTTAGTGCGACCCATCAACGTGACTCCTGTACCCCGAGTATAAAATTAATCCCTAAAATTAACCATTAATAAACAGAGCAAAACCCGAGAATAGTTGGTAAAATGGTGTTTCCTGTGTAATGAAGAATCAAGGGCATTATATTATTATGTTTGGTAACAGTACAACAGGATATCACGAGCAGCCAGTCGCCTTACTTACTAGACCACGTGTGTGTGTGTGTGTGTGTGTGTTTTAGATGTGCTACGGGTCAAGTGAAGTGCAACAGGTGATCACTATTACCTTGTAAGTTAACAGACAGACAGAGAGGCATCAAGCAGGTACAACACGTCGTTAACGCCCTGTGTTGCCCCGCTGTTATTAATCTCTCTTTGTTCGTAAGTCACCCGCTTAGTGAAGGCGGGATGTGACAGCGCTAGAATTAAGCATATTTTGTAGAGTGGGGTTTCCTGCTCAAGTGCCTGATTGGGCGTTGCAGCTTAAATCCTGTATGACTGGATACCACTAACAGAATGAGCATGGTGATGTATTGTATCTCAGTATGGTAATGATCACCTGGGTATATAGAAGGTCCTGCAAGGAAAACCAATGACAAACTTTTTAGATTCAGTAAACCACCCGCCCCTCCACCACCCGTACCCCACACAGCTGTCATCAGGCTTCACACAGGTGGTGGTAATGTCGTCAGGCTTCACACAGGTGGTAATAGTGACATCAGGCTTCACACAGCTGGTGGTAGTGACATCAGGCTTCACACGGTGGTAATGTCGGCTTCACAGGTGGTATAGTGTCGTCAGGATTACACAGGTGGTGGTAATGTCATCAGGCTTCACACAGGTGGTGGTAGTCGTCAGGCTTCACACAGGTGGTAGTGTCAGTTCAGGTGGTATATCAGGCTTCACACAGCTGTGTATATGTAACACGCTGGTGGTAGTGACATCAGGCTTCACACAGATGGTGGAGTGGTGGTAGTGGTGTTAGGTTAGGTTACTGGGGAAGAAAACTGGTAAAACATCAGTCCAGGATCACACGCTGATCAAGTCCTTAGAAAAATGAAGAGGTGTTCCCGATCGTAAACACCAAGGGGGCGGGGCCTCGACTGCTACCATGAAAGAAAACGGGCAAAATCACTTGGATCAAAACAACACCAGGAAAAAATAATGACGAACTCTTTCAACCACTACGAACATTTTAATTTCAGTACTGATGGAGCCCAGCTGTCAGTTTTATTTACAGTTTAATGAAGGGCGAGTAACTGAGAAAAAACACAAGGAAAAGGATTGATAAGCTGTTGAATCATAACCACCATGCAAATCACATTTCCGAAGACTCATGATAGAATTATTTATTTTTAAGTAATATCATGATTGGAATTCCAGCTTTGGATTGGCAAGTGAATGGGGCGACTGACTGACTGACTGACTGACTAAAAAAAGGAGTGTAATTGGAATTATATAACACGAAAAATAAACAAAGGATTTTTTTTTTTTACTCATGGGAGAACAAGTCATAACGAGACCCTGAAATAACAAGAATTATTATGCTGGAGGAGATAATATGACCTAGAAATACTGGAGGACAGTGAGGTGGGGGCTAGGTGGAGGACAATGTGGGCAAGATGGAAGACAGTGGGTGTGGGCAAGATGGAAGACAGTGGTGGGCAAGGTGGAGGACAATGTGGGTGTGGGCAAGATGAAGACAGTGAGGGGGGGGCAAGGTGGAGGACAATGTGGGCAAGATGGAAGACAGTGGTGTGGGCAAGATGGAGGACAATGTGGGCAAGATGGAAGACAATGTGGGCAAGATGAAGGACAGTGGGTGGGCAAGATCGAAGACAATGAGGTAGGGGCAAGATGGAAGACAGTTTGTGTGGGCAAGACTGAAGACAGCGGTGGCAATAAGGGCAAGAGGGAAAGTCAACAGCATCAGTAGAGGGGACAAAGCAGAGAAATAACCTTTGTGAGACTGCATACCAAGAAGCTTCCAAGGCCAGGAAATACCACCACTTCTTGACCAACACCAGCGTCACTATTACTGCCATCATTACCAACACCAGGGCTACTTACTGCCATCACACAACACCAGGGCTACTTACTGCCATCATTACCAACACCAGGCTACTTACTGCCACCATTACCAACACCAGGGCTACTATCGCCACCATTACCAACACCAGGGCTACTTTACTGCCACCATTACCAACACCAGGCTACTTTATCACCATTACCAACACCAGGGCTACTTACTGCCACCATTACCAACACCAGGGCTACTTACTGCCATCATTACCAACACCAGGGCTACTTACTGCCACATTACCAACACCAGGTGCTACTTACTGCCACCATTACCAACACCAGGGCTACTTCTGCCATATTACCAACACCAGGCTACTTACGCCACCAACCAACACCAGGCTACTTACTGCCACCATTACCAACACCAGGGCCATTGCCACCATTACCAACACCAGGGCTACTTACTGCCACCATTACCAACAACACCAGGGCTACTTACTGCCATCATTACCAACACCAGGTGCTACTATGCCACCATTACCAACACCAGGGCTACTTACTGCCACCATTACCAACACCAGGGCTACTTACGCCACCATTACCA